AACTGGGCATGTTCAGCTTTGAGAAAATCAAGGAGGGAGATGGCAATTGCTTTCAAATATTTGAAAGGTTTTCATATAAAAAAGGAAATCAGACTTATTCTGCTTGGCCCCAGAGAATAACACTAGGACCAATGGATGAAAGTTATAGAGAGAGATACACATTTGGGTTCAGTGTAACAAAAGGACCTTTTTAAAAATTAACGTCCAAAAGTTCAATGGACTGCCTCGTGAAATGAGCCCCTTGACACTGGAGGTCTATATTTGGGGTTTAGATGATCACTTGTTGGGAATGTTGCAGCCTATCCCAGTCCCCCAAAGCTGCTAGTGCCTTTCCTTCCAAGATTGCCTTCTATCTACTTTGTTGAAATTCGGCCTCAGACACTTACCAGCTATATGACTCTGGGCAAGTCACTTAACCTGTTTGCCTCTGCTTCCTCGTCTGCAAAATGAGCTGGAGAAGAAAATGGCAAACCACTCCAATATCTCTGCCAACAAAAGCCCAAATAGGGTCACAGAGAGTCAGACACCACAGAAAATGGCGGAAGAACAACTTTATGTTTATGTTGTATGTGCCAATTTGTATGGGAGCGGTCTGGTATATATACCAAGCTCTTCCCACTGGCCTTGCACCTACAGAGCACCAAGCAACAATCTGTCACCTCATCCGTTGTCTGCCACGTCAGACAGCAAGGAGATATGAAAGGAAAGAGAAAAGGGAGAACAAGAGAATGATAGGAAAGGTTGTAGTAGCTTTATACCTGTTGGAGATAGGTTTTGCCTTGTTTTCCCTTAAACCAAGTTTATAAAGTTATATGCAGGCAGTCTAGGTTAGGATTCCTTAACCTTTTATATGTCATTAATCTTCTTCTGACACCTAAACCCCCAATGAAACCTATGGATCCCTTCTCCAGATCATGTTTTTAAATGCATAAAATATATGGGAGTATAAAAGAAACTGATTGCATTGATAGAAACATGCAATTTTTTTTCCATCCAACTTCACCAACTCCCTGAAATCTATTTACTCTGAATGAGTCTGTGGACCTCAGGTTAAGAATCCCTGGTGTAGGTATTTCAGAAGGCCAAATATCAAATATCAAGCTTCACCTTGAATTGACCATCTGTGGCTCTCAAGGCCATCTTTGCTAAGAACAAAAAGTAACTTGTGATGAAAAAAGGATTATGAGAGGAGATAAGTCAAGTTACTGAAGGGTGGGTATGAAATTTCTATCCTTGGAGATGTATATGTACACACACACACACACACACACACACACGTTTAAATTCTGGATTTAACGTGTTAGTTGTTCAGTCGTGTCTGACTCTTCGTGACCCCATAGACCATGGAACGCCAGGCCCTTCTGTCCTCCTCTGTCTCCCAAAGTCTGTCCAAGCTCATGTTCATTGCTTCCGTGACACCATCTACCTATCTTACCCTCTGCCATCCCCTTCTTTTACTTTCAGTCTTCCCCAACATCAGGGTCTATTCCAGTGAGTCCTGTCTTCTCATTATGTGGCCAGAGTATTTAAGCTTCAGTTTCGGTATTTGTACTTCCAATGAATAGTCTGAATTTAGCACATATGTGCATATGCACACATACACAAACACATAAACATGTTTGTGTGTGCATATGTGCATATGTACATATGTGTGTGCATGAGTATATATACATACTAAGTAGAACAAAAAGATAGGCGTATACATAAAAGGCAGCTAGGTGGCAGAAGGGATAAAGCACCAGAACTAGAGTTAGGAAGACCTGAGTTCAAATCCGATCTCGTACACTAGCTGTATGATCCCAGATAAGTCACTTAATCTTTGCTTCAGTTTCCTCAACTGTAAAATGGGGATAATGGCACTTACCTCACAGAGTTATTGTGAGGATCTAATGAGACAGTATGTGTAAAATGCTTAGTAGGTACTAAGTGTGATATTATAATTATTATTAAAATAAAAAATCCTATTATGTACAGCTTGCTTTTTTAAAAAAGTATATAATAAATTCAACATATAATATTCAAAGCTGTCTTGCTTATTTATATATCCCTCTATTCTCTTCTGTTCACTTTCTTTTCTTCTTTTTTTCTTCTTTTTCTGGGCAACATCCCCTTCTCTTTTCTAAATTCTAACCTTCCCCCATATAATGCCCAGGGGTATTTTGTTTTTTTTTGCTTTTTGGTGAGGTAGTCGGGGTTAAACGACTTGCCCAGGGTCAAACAGCTAGTAAGTATCAAGTGTCTGAGGCTGGATTTGAATTCAGGTCCTCATGACTCTAAGGCCAGAGCTCTATCCACTGCGCTTTCTAACTGCCCTTCTGTGGGTATTTTTTTTTTAATGGATTAGTTACTTCTCTAAATAGATCCCCTCCTGACTCCCATCAAGGAAGGGGTGGTTAAGACGCCTTCTCTACCCTCTATTTCTTTCAGGCTGATCTGATAACCAGACTTAGCCTCACTGGTTTTAACAGGCAGAAATCCCAGCCCTGCTCTCATAGTTATTCCTTGCTCTTCCTAGAGTAAGAGCTCATGTATTGTTCTCTCCTTTGCTTAATTGATTCATTGAATTTCACCACATAATAGTTTTTGAAAGACATAATAAAATACATTTCTATACCTAATAATGGCCGTGTTCTTGCTTCATTGAGAGAGATCTGACCATTTTAATAGTGCTTCCTTTGTGATGATGTTTCAAAAGTTTGATGAGGCTCTGTAATTTTTCTAGCGAAAGAAATAGCAAGCCATTCCAATATATTTGCCAAAAAAACGCCAAGTTGGGTCACAAAGAGCCAGACATGACTAAAAATGACTGAACAACAACAAAAAATATCAGAAAACCTATCTTATGTGAAATAAGTGTGCCAATTAAGCAGCATGACCTTGGGTTTGTACTTAGCCTCTCTGGAAAGTGAGGAGATTAGACTGGAAGAATGCTTTAGAATTCTGTGACACCAAGTTATTATAGTCATTCAGAACATGATTTTTGTTCTTACTTAGAAGAGATTCCTGAGAATGTAATTAGATTTGTTTAGGGAATTGTGAATCTTCCTGATAAAGTAGTCCATAAAAGACCAAGAGTAAATTACTGTGGCATTTTTTTTCCCTCATACAAACTTATATAAGAGAATATATGACTTTAATTCTCTATGGGTCAATCCCAGACCTTCACATAATTTAACTGGTTACACTGGGCTTTACTAACCAAAGTCTAGGAATAGACTTGTTCTTGAAAATTAGATGTGTGCTCTGGGCCAATAACAATTTATAATAAGAGAGTAGTAATGAAAATGGATTTTTTGAAATGTCAGGATAAGTTGGGGGGTGGAGTTGGCTAGTATAGTATCATAAATTGACAAATTTTAGGCTATCTACAAGGCTATTGTAGTGGATATGTGGGAGTCTTTGAGATTTACAGGAAGAACCTATCTTTTCTTTCTTCTTTTTTTTTTTCTTCAAGTTCTCAAACTTCACCATTTGCTGTTAATTCACCTCTGGGCACAAGTGCAAATTTAAAACCTTCATTAAGACACATTAACCCAAACAGCAGTGATTAAAACAGAATATTAAAAATATCCATCATAATGTACCACTCCATTAGCGAAGACACGTTTGAAACAATGACTATTATATGATTTCATGCCAGGGCAGGACAGACAAGGTTTTTCATAAATGAGGCACCACAGCCTCCATTTCCTTACAATTGGAACTTGGGACATATAAGCATGTGAGTATATTCTCATTTCAGTTATCACTATTATAGTAGTACATGGTTCAGAAAGAGAGAATCTTTGGGGTTCAACATTTAGAGGTTTTTAGATTCAGGTGATGACCTTGTATTTTCAGTTGGAAGAAAACTGACATCGATATCAATCAACAAGCATTTATTAATACCTTATTATATTCTAGAGACCGCACTAGACATTGGGGACACAAAGAAGATACATGAAACAATTCTTCCTCTCAAAGAGCTTACATTCTAATGAAGGATACAGCAAGGACATGTATAAAGGATATATACAGAATAAGTATGGAGAGCAGCTAGGCAGCACAGTGGATAGAGCGCAAGCCCTGGAGTCAGGAGGAACTGAGTTCAAATTAGGCCCCAGTTACTTCCTAACTGTGTGACGGGCAAGTCACTTAACCCTGATTGTCTCCAAAATAATTAAAGAAGAAAAAAAGAATACATATGGAGAGAACAAACATATCCCTCTGCCAGTTAACACTTCTGTCATATCTTATTTCATCTTCTATTTAGAAATATGATGTAGTGGGCCTAATCATTTCTGCCATTGGGGTCTAGCAACCCTGTGGCATAAAGAGGGCCATTAATATTTGCATATGTTTGTTATGATAGTCTCACTGCATGAAAGGCAATGTGACCTGTTGGTTACAGAGACCTGGTCTTGAAACCAAGAAGACCTGTGTTCACGCCCTGCCCCTGGCACATAGTGAGTGTGTCCATATATTTTTATGCCTAAAGTCTATGCTCCAGAACAAAGAGGTGCCAAATATGCAGCACAATCAGATTAAAATGTAAATGGGAAATGTTTAACAAAATGAATACAAATATAACAAAACACAAATAATGCTAATTTGTGGTTTCCTAAATCAGTGTGCATCCTGAAGAGATCAGTTTCTATTTGAGATTGACACCACTGCTCCAGAATCCTATTCCTTAAAGAGAACCTCTCAGGTTCCCCTGCATATATTACATGTTGATGTAAAGTAAGGATTGAATGAAAAACTTGAAACTAGGGTGGAGAAGGAGAAGGACTAAAAAGAAGAGGAGAGAGGGGAAAATCAAGAGCATCTGGAATTATTCAGGGTAAAGAAACCTTGGCTGAGAACATGAATATAAAAATTTATGAAGAATTTTTAGGGTGGTGTTTAATGAGGACAGTCCCTTATGGAAACCTTTAGTAACAACAGTTCTAAATGTTTTATTGCTTCAAAATGCATCACATTGCTCATTTCCTTATCCTTGTATGACTTTTTTTTTTAAGGTAATAGAAATCCGATGCTCTTCTGGAATGAATTTGGGTACCAGAGTAACAAGTGGTTGGAGAAGCCTTTAAATTCTACTCGGTACAGAAGAAGACAAGCCAGTGAAATCCCGTTCATCATTCAATGTGGCAAGTGTGGTCCACATATGGCTGGTGAAGGGCAATGCAATTTGCAGTCAGCTTTGAGTTACCCCTGGCAGTGGAGAGGACCAGTAGTTGGGGAGACAGATGATTTACCACCATCCAAAGATCTGCTGTTGTTCCCTCTTAAAACTTTCTAGGGTGTGTCCAGCTGCTGTCATACAGCAGAGGATCAGCTGGTCCGCCGAGTAAAGCTCTAGAGAGCCCTCATAGCAGTAGTGAGACTAGACAGAGGGAGGAAATAGCCTTGTATAATATGGATGATTAAGAGTTGATACATTCATGGATCCAGTAACTGAGAGTGCCAAATCCAAATCAATCAATGCCAAATGTCCATTTCTTTGCAAACTAACCGTCAGCTTTTCATTCAATCATTCTGCCCTTAGAGAATCCTTTTCCAAATGGCTCTTTAAGACTATATACAAATGTAATTGGGAAACAGTTATTGAAATGAGTACATATTTTTTAAAAAGACTGTGTACACAAAAACAAATTGGAAGTAACATTTTTAAAATTTTGATTCTGTTCATTTCCTTAACTGAAATATGATACAGTGATATATTTTAAAATTCTAAGCCTCCTCTATTCTGTGTACTCTTGTCCCCTGAAAATGATTGGGAGAGATCAGACCTTATACCCAGTGGGAAGGGACCATTCTTAAGATTATGCTAGATGTAGGGGTTCTAGCACAATCCTGACCTTTAAAAGTTACACAGGATATTATAGTGACTGCTTAAATCAGCCCATCTTTGGGCATATTAGGTTCAATCCTGCATCATCATTTTATTGCAGAGAGGGATAGTTTCCACACAAATTTGGGTGCAAAATAGCAGTACTGTCCATATTAAGACTTGGCCTACATGCACACAATTGTATTAGGGAAGAAATAGTTTGAAGTTCAACCTAACATTCTTATGTTGAATTTTGTCAGTTTTCACAATGGCTGATAGTTGAACTGTTATTTCCAGTTTCTTTTTGTGTGCATATAGCCTTAAAAACTTTCGTGGTACTTGTAACAATTTTGAGCATATTTGTTGGCTAAGACAAAAGTTTTAAGTGTCATGATTTGTTTTTAGGAGAGTATTATACAAAAGAAATGGTGCAGTCTTTCATATTGGAAGCATTACATATTAAAAGCAAAAGAAAAGCTCTCATACATTTTGGCTTTCCCATCTTATTTTTCAACTCTTTTATTTTTCCATCCCCACAATCACATACATACTCAGCTCATGGTATTGGCAGGTGTTACTTTGACTAAGTCATAGCCTGAGAAGAAGATTTACCCTTTGCAGAGATTTTTTTAAGATTGACAAAGTGAATACAAATGACTAACCATAAAGACAACTAACATTTTGATCAACTTAATGTTTCCCATAATATTTATAAGGGAAAATTTCAACTTTTGTGATAGTATATGATTTTGTCATAGTTTTCCAATGATATTCACAGCTTGTATTTTATCTCAGATGTTAGTTAAAATGTTTATAGAAGAATTGGTTTATGGGTTTTAAAGCCTATCATCATATTATTATTATTATTTTGACATTAAAATGTTAAGATTTGTCTATAATTATTTTGAGCCAGCCATCTATGAGTTAGTAGATAAGTTGTTGATTGAGGACAAGTAAGTTAAATGTTTTGCTCAGAGTCACACAGCAAGGAAGTGGTCAGATGTGAGATTTGAACTCAGGCCCTCCTGAAAACAGATCATGCTTGTATTACACTATCTTCATTCCTAAATACAACATGCCTCTTTGAAGAGATAGTGCATTGTAGTTGATAGAAGGCTAATGTTTGACTCAGAAAGACCTAAATTTAAATCCTGCCTCTGGCACCTACTAGTTGTCTGACAATGGAAAGCTGTTTACCCTCTTGATTTTATCCAGACTGTTCTTTAAGACTGTAAGTAACAGCACAATTGTAGATCTGCATTGATGGAGAGTTTTTATATCAAGAGTTCTTTACACTGATGAAATGGTCCAGAAGAGAGAAAATATATAATTTGACCAAATAGTATAATGCAGTTATATATAATCTCTATTTTATAGTTTCCAGGTGATTAATAACCATTCAAGATGAAGTTGAACTGACTTTTGACAAGCAGATTTTAAAATATTTCTCTTTTTTTGCAAAATGTGGTAAATTACTTTTTAGTAATTTCTCCACAGTCTAGCAGTAACACTGCAGTAGTACTAAACATAATTAAGTGAAATTTGACCACAGCTTTATTTGGCTATTAATAGATGATCCTCTGAGTTTCTCTACATTGACAGGGCTATCCCTTATAGAATGTGTGTCTCTGATTGCCTTTTTCTCAGATCTTTGCCTTAAATGGAGAGTTTTACCTTCTGATGATGATTATAAGAAGAGAGAAAATCTTGGCAATTGGACTTGTACTGATAATCCAAACCTCTTGGAAAACAGGTAGATTTTGATGGCATTTTTTCCCATGCAGAGAATTATCTGCTGTTAAAATATCCCTGTCATGCTGAAAAGAAATGATAACTTTAGTGGGCTTCTTTTTAGTAGAGCCAACTTGGGAGTTCCCATTTCCATCAACTGTGTTCTCTCATCTTGTAGGAAGCACATTAGGGGTAGAGAATCATTCTCAAAGTTGCATTAATTCTGTCTCATTTACAAATCAAAACAGTGTCACTTGTAATGAGAGACATGAGTTAAATTTAGCAGTGTTGACAGTTAAGTGATGGACCTTAAAGTCTAAAATAAATTTCCTCCTGTATTTATAATTTTCTTATGAGCTGACAAAATATTGACTATCTGTTATCCGTTGTTATCAAGAAGAGAAACTTAAAATGGTGCTAAGAGATATAGGAATTCTTGACCATCAGGTTAGTTGATCAAGGGATGGTTAATGCAGAAAGAGGGTTTATGTCTTATTTCCTACTGCTCATTGTGAATAGGGCCTGCAACCTTTGATGATACCCAGAGTAAGGAAAAGTGGACTTTGTAATGGGAGTATTGGCCATGAGGGCCCAGTCAACAGAGTGTGTTCTGTATAAACATGAAGGGAAAATCTGAGCATGCTCTAAAAATTGGGTCCTCATTGGCCATCCCCCTCCCATTACAATTTAATGACCTCTCTCAGCCCTTTTCAGCTCTGTTTGTTACCATGGTGAATAGTAAAATATCCACTTTAAATGTAAACCATCCTAGGACATAGTTTCTTTTTTTTTCTTTTTCTTCACAAATTTATTTTATTTTCAATTCATGGAACAAGACAGGCATTCCATAATACGATAGTATCTTATAAAGGATTGTTGTGAAGTTTAACCTTGGCTATGGGTACTACTGCTTCAGCTATTTAGGCATAGGAGAACACCATTAAATGAGTTATAGGGGTATTTATTATGTAGCATCCCAAAAAGATTTTTGCGCCTTTGTAAGAACTGAAATATAACCAGACCCTGTCTTAGATAAAGTTGAATATTAATTTATCACATTTTTAAAGAACCTAAACCTATTCTACCACCTTTTAGTGGATCAGAAGCATCCTTTCAAGGATCTTTTCCCCTCCTCTCCAGGTCAGATGCATGAGTGGCACTAGTAATCAGAGTGCTCAGCACAGTTAATGCTTTGGGGAGAAGGGGGTAACTGTGATGAAGTGAAGACCTGGATGTCAGTTTAAACAAATTTAAATTATATAATTAAATGAAAAATATATTTTAAGAGTTACAAATGAAGGCCACTTTATGAATTTTGGGTAGATTTGACTTTTGTTAAGATATTTTGTGTTCATATGCTTTAGGTACTTCAGGAATCATAGAATCTCAGATTGAGAAGGGATCTGACAGGCCATTGAGTCTAACCCATAACTGACCAAGAATCCTTTCTACAACATTGCCAACAAATGGTTGCCTCTCTGCTTGAAGACTTTGAATTTGGGGATCTCACTCTCTCCTAACACAGTCAATTTTTCATATTGGGGGTACTCTATCAGGAAATTTCTCCTGCAGCAATTTTGTATATCTGAGTTTAAAAAAAAAATTGACAAGGGCACAGTCATTTTACTGAAATACAAACAAAAGCATATATAAATGGAGCCCCTAGTTGTCTTCAAATCAACACTGTAGGTGGTTGTATAGTATTCCAATAATGCTTTGAATTTGTTTTTTCCGCACTTTTCTTGGATAATAACCAACACATTTTCTGTGAGTGAATGTAGAGATGTTTTTTCACAACAGAACCTGAATGCAAATGCAACTAGTCACTTTCATTCCCAGAATATTTTGGGATTCTTCTTGGAAAACATGAAGAGTGGGTCCTGTTTACCCTAATTTTTTCCATGCCTTGCAAGGGGGAGGAAACCTTTTCTCCAGCATTTTTGTTATATTCTCTAGGTATCTCCAGCTGCCGTAAGAGATTGCTTGATTGCTACTAGTGGTCACACCTATGTAGTGCTTTAAAACCAGGTCTCTTCTGACCCAGTGTTCTTTCTACTGTACTGTTATGGACACACACTGCACCTATACTCAGAATTTAAGCATGGAGAAGTAGGAGCTTTAGGAAAGGATTGTCATACCAGCATCTATCCTGGTTTGACCCATCTCCATCTCTAGCTACATCCTGAATATCAGCATTGCTCAATGGGATCTATGTTGACTGTGATCAAACTAAAAACTATAAAATTCATGAAACCAGTAATCTTATCTACCCAGAAGAGCTGGCTTCTAGACAATCTAGATATCACAAAAAACATGCAATGAAGCTCATGTACTTTATGAAAATTATCTCATTCCCACCACCATCTCAAAGCCCATTTGTCTTTATTTTAGATAGGACTCAGAATTCTAACAACACTGTCTATTTGGCTTACCAGCTCAGAAATTAGAAGCAACCAGTTAGAAGGTGATGAAGGTGCTGCAGCAAGACACAGTGACATTTTCAGGTCGTGAAAACCTGTGAAAGGAGGAAGGAGACAGAAAAAGTATAAAAAGACACAAGGATTTGAAAAGCCAAGTAGTCCGGGGTCATTTATAGTTGGTAATCCCTAGAGCCATTATTAATTTATTCAAAAATATTTCATAATCATAAAAAATTAATGAGCATCTATTGTGTGCTAGGTACAATGAAGAATATGTAGGAAAATGAGACCTTGTCCTTGTTATCATTCATTACAGACTAATAGGAAAGTAAGACAGCTATACAAATAACTGTGGTACAAGTTAGGTTGTGACTATGCAGTAAGAAAGATGCACAGTTCCATAATAGTTCACAAGGAAACATTACTTCTGGCCAGGAAGATCAGGGTAGGCTTTCCAGAGGTGATAAAATTAGTACTTGGAAAAATAATAGAATTTGGATTGGATGATTTGGGAACTCTGGGAGGTATAGGCAGAGTGGCGGAGCAAGAGTAGAAGGATGGGGAAATGGGGGGATTACAAGAAGGATTAGTTTCAGTCCTTATATCCCAAACACTTAGTACAGTGCCTAGCACAGAGTGGCTATTGATTGACTAGTTGAACCAGTTATTTTGGTTGATTGGTTGATTGATTGAGTTTTGAGTTGTGCTTGTTGCTGTCCCATAAGTACAGAGACCATCCTGTCTGACCCAAAAATGACTCATGATATGACAAAGAATATTCCTTTTGAAAAATCTAATTAAAAGTTGACAACTTCTTGAAGTCAGAACTGCCTAGAAAATCTGGGACACATAAGCTTTAACAATTGGCAGCATGAGGGAGCATAGTAGAAAAAAAAAAGGATGAAAGACTTAAATTCCTTCTGAATTGTGAACGGCCTTGAATGCCAGGCAGGAGTATTTGAATTTTGTTCCACAGATAGTAGAGAGCTGGTCAGAATTTTTGAGCAGGAAGTAACATACTCAAATTTGGGGTTTGGGAAGTTTCATCTAGCATTAGGAGGATATTGCTTCCCTATATCCGATTTCTGGTGTTTAAGACATTGAAGATAACCTCCAGCCACTGTGATAATGGTCAAATAGCCTGTTCCTTTTCATTGACCTTATTTCTTGTGCTCATTGATTCTGAAGCTGTCATAGGCCAGAACAACTCCCTTCTTTCCCCCTGGGCACCATGAAACAAGTATCCGCCCCAGAAAATGAGAAAGAGAAACAACTCAGGGATTCGGTGCAAAGATATCAGAATAAATTGGCAGAACAGCAGTCATGGGTGAGTATCTAATTATTCATCACTTTCACAAAACATAATGATGCCTGTGCCATAGAGGGCAGTTTGTAGAGTCTTAGAATTGCAAGCCATCATAAAATCTGATTTCCTCCACAACATAAATCCCCAGTACAACATTCATGACCAGTGGTCATCTGGCACCCTGTTTGAATACTTCCAGCAAGAGGGACCTCACTGGCTCATGGGGTGGTCTGTTTTGTTTTGAGACCACTCTGATTATTAGGAAATTCTTTGTTATATTGAGCTAAAATTAAAATGTCTTCCTATAATTTTCACATACTGGTCCCACTTATGCCCTCTGAAACCACCCAGAAAAAGTCGTGTTCTTCTTAACTCTTCTCTTTCACATGACATAACTTCAGAATATTTTCAGACCTCTGTTGTTCACCCACCCTGCCTGCCTGTTATCTCTTCCTCTGGCTAAAACATTCCATTTCCTTCAACTAGTCTTCATAGAACATTAGTTAGAATCACTGTATCAGTGTATTCACTGGACATGATCCATTTTGTTATTGTCCTTCCTAAAATGTGCCACTCATTGGGGGCAGCTAGGTGACACAGTAGATGGAGCTCAGGCCTTGGAGTCAGGAGGACCTGAATTCAAATGTGGCCTTAGACACTTGACACTTTACTAGCTCTGTGACCCTGGGCAAGTCACTTAACCCTGACTGCCTCACCCCCCAAAAAATGTGCCACTCAGAGTCAAACACACTACATAGGTGTGGTCTGGCCAGGACAGAGGAGAGTAACATGTTGTTTCGTTAAAAAGGGTGCTAGAGGCTTGGTTCAAATTTTGGTTCCACAAGTTTATATCTGTAAGATGTTGGGTAAGTCACTTCTCTGGACTTCAGTTTTCTCCTTTGAAAAGTTAGGGACTTGGATTAGATGGATACTTAAGGTCCCTTATATCTTCAAATCTGTGATCTTGTGATGATCAACTCATACTGAGTTTGCGGGCCTCTCAAACCCTTGTTTCTTTTTTTAAGATGTTAAGTAATTCCTATCATTTACCAGGATTTTTTAAGCCTATATTTACAATTCATTTTAGAGAGAATTTTTTTTAAATAAATGATCAAATAAGGCTGGAATTATCAGAACTAGGCAAAATGTCATTTCCTCAAGACCTTTATCAGTATTGGTTAATTGGTTAATGTTGTAATCCCTTCAGATTGGCCTCCCTGCCTCAGTTCCATCCCCATTCTAATCCATTCTCACCTAGGCTGCCAAAGTGACCTTCCTAAAGAACACGTCTAACCAGGTCAGACCATGGTTTTTGCCTTTCTTGGTATCCTTTGTGCTTAGTGCCTGGCAATAGTGAGCCCATAGTGATTTCAATAAATGCTTGTCGACTGAGAGATTGGCTTCTTGAGGGAGGGGAACATTTGAGTTCTTTGTCTTTGTAACTTCAGAGCCTTATAGAGTACCTTGCACATATTAGGTATTTAATAAAAGTTTGTTGAGTTGGATCAAAGACTGGGAAACTGAAGCCTAGAAAAGTGATATGCAGTTTACACAGGAAATCTGAGTGTGTGTGTATACGCATGCATGTACACACATATAAATGTGTATATGTGTGTATAAATATATATATATGTATATGCACATACACATGTGTGTATGTGTAGCTATGTGGCACAGTGGATGGAGCACTGGGCTTGTAATCAGAAAGACTCATCTTCATGAGTTCAAATCCGGCCTCAGATACTTACTAGCCATGTGATTTTGGGCAAGTCACCCTGTTTGCTTCAGTCCCTCATCTGTTATATGAGCTGGAGAAGGAAATAGCAAACTATTTAAGTATCTTTGTCAATAAAACCCCAAATGGGGTCACAGAAAGTCAGACACAACTGAAATGATTGAACAACAATATGCATATATATTTGTATGTGTATATGTATTTCAGTAAATGGGTTTGTTAATACAGAAACTCTCAAGTTGACATGTTTTAGAAGAAATGAATGTTAGAAAAATAAAATATGAGAAAAATAAATGTTAGGGAAGGACAAAAGTAATATTAGGAAAATAATTTTTATATAAAAGTAGTTGCATCTTGATATCTCCAATTAAAGGGTAAAGTGCCACATTACAGTATTTTACCTTTTTTTTTTAATTAGACCTGTGATTCCATTAGTGTAAAGATCCAAGTGGGGAGATGCCCAAGAAGATGGTAGATCAGCAACTTAGAGAGAGTTGCCTGGGGCCTTGAGATGATGTCCCTGTCTTTCTTACTCTAAGGGACATCCTCTGATCCAAGGGCCTCTAGTAATACTGGTTTAGTTTTCTAACTAGTAAAGACATTAGAACTCAGGACATGTATATGTGGATTTTATTCTTTTGTTGTTTTTTTATAGAGCTCAGAGAACCTGTTAATCTCCTTCAGAGCTTCAGTTAGGAGTTTTGTTTTGTTTTGTTTTGTTTTTTACTATTCATTTTTGGACAGACTGTGGCAGGGTTATTGGAATACAGTCTTGGTTCCCCAAAGTCCTGGTTTCTTTTTTCTTTTTTTGAGTAATTGAATTAACCATTCTGATCCAACAAGTATTTGTTGAGTACCTACTATGTGCTAGGTGCAGGGGGTCCAGAAGACAAAAACCAAGAGGAACATGTCAACAGAGAGACGTATACACAGTCTTAAGACAGCTTTTTATAGCTCAATTGGTATGGTGATGCAACTTGTATATGGTATAATTATGTTAACCCTAAACTGATCAACTGAGGGTGCAGTGAGTATTACTGAACTGGGTGGCAGGAAGACCTGATTTCAAATATGGCCTCAGACACTTAGTCCTCTGTGACCTTAGGCAAGTCACCTCACCTCTTGCAGCCTCAGTTTTCTCATCTGTAAAATGGTGAAAATAATAGCACCTACCTCTCAGGATTGTGGTGAGGTAAATTAAGATTGATAGTGTTTTGCAAACCTCAAATCACTATATAAATGCTATCTATCATTATCTGGTTTCTTTTGGCCGTCCCTTAGAGGAGAGGAGAGACCAGAGGTGAAAAAGGGAAGGAAAAGTAAAAGGTCTGCATCAGCCATGGATAAATATAATCCACCTCTAAAAAACGAGAGTTGACCGAATTTCTGGCCTAGGGAGATAAAGCTATGTTTCACTTTTTAAAATACATGCTTCCTTATGGGACATGAGCGTCTCTTCCTGATTAAGAGATAAGATCCAGAATCATCCAAGACTATTGTTTCCTTCCTCAGCCCCCTCTGCTCCCCCAAAGCTACCCCCTAATCTAGGTGCATAGACCTTTTACCCCTAACAAAGCGGACAGTGTTGAGGCCAGTCAGGTTATTGACCTGTGGTACAAGCTTGTGTCATCTGTAAGAGAACTGACAAAAGACCCTTCTGGCTCCCACAGTCTATGATATGATATGTATCACATGCAGCCAGAAGGCAAAAACAGGACGGATGGTCTTAGTTACTGCCAGTGTTTTGTAGCTTACCTCCCTCAATGCCATATTATCTCCCCATCTCACCTCCTTCCCCACCTCCCTAGCTTATTAATGGAGAGAGAAGCAAAATTGTGACCACTCCAAGAACCCACTTAGAATGGACAGTGCAGACAGTAATAATTATTGATTGTTCATTGTATTTTTGAAATAATTGTGCTGGTTGAGGCAATAGGGTGGGGAGAATATCAAAGACATGGACTTCTCTGCCTCACCACACTTGTAGGAGTTTACAGTCTCAGGAAAAGATGGATGTGAGTGTGTGTGTGAGAATATATAACAAAGTTAACAAGTATAGCTCAGGAACTAGTTTCCAATAGATGGATAGATGGATATCTAGATAGATAGACAGGTAGATATAGAATATATGGCCAGAAACACATTTAATCCGTAAAAGGCTAAAATGTAACTCTACCATTAATTGGCATTTCTCCTAGCCTAGAAGGAAACAAGTTCCTGAGCTCTACTTATTATGCTACCTTTGTAATACATTCTTAAATCCCATCTATCTATCTATCTGTCTATTTATCTCTACCTAGATAGGCCCATATCTTTATCCACCTAGCTGCTACAAAGTTAAATTATATAGCATACACGTGCTAATAATGCAGTCCATTTGCTAAAACAGTGTGTATATATGTGTGTTTCTGTGTCTATACATCCACATATATATATATATATATATACACACACATGTATAAAATTAGGCACAGTATATCAAGGGTTAGATGTAAAACAGACCCTGGAGGGGACTAAGACTAGATAGATAGATAGATAGATAGGTAGATGCATGTGATATATAGATATATATGTATATCTACATATAGAGATCTATAGATAGATGATATAAATAGATTTAGACATGCATATGATATATAGATATACATATATCTATATAGATAGATAACTATAGATCTATAAATGAAGAGATAGGTGATAGATAGATAGATAAAAAGGATTTAAGAATGTGTTACAAAGTTAACAAGTATAGCTCAGGAACCTGTTTCCTACTTGGGTAGGAGAAATTCCAATTAATGGTAGAGTTACAGCTTAACTTTTTAAGGATTAAATGTATTTCTGGCCATGTATTCTGTTAGGCCATAATGACAAGCCAGGACCCTCTTTATAATATTGTGCTCCTATAACAAACCAATGTCTCAGTTTTTCTCCATCAGATGAATCATGTATCTGTTTTCTGCTCATCTCTGTTGCCTCACTCCCCAATGTTACATTGCATAGGCATTTCTGTTCTCTGAAGGACATGCACCATCTGCTGGCCACACTGTGAAATCCTGTGTTGTTATCTGCTGGTATTAATGTCATCTGTGGAGGTAGTAAGCTTTTTTTGTAAGATGAGGGGGTTTTGCTTATATTCATGCATCTGACTTAGTCCTCTCCAGAATCAGTTTTCTAACTAACCCTTGATGTATTATGTGTATAATAATATGTATGTGTATGTATGCATATATATGTGTGTATATATGCATATATATACGTGTATATATATTGTTTTGGTCAGTAGATT